TCGACTCCAGATCTTCAAGTAAGTCGTTGATCAAGGGCATTGGGTAGGTCATCAGCTGAGTTAGGCTGTTAATCAACCGATAATCGATGCACAACCTGATATCCACTGTATTCATCTTGATGATCACCACGTTCGGGGAAGCCCACGGTGATCTGGAGTAATTGATCATCTTTGCGGACAATAGCCACTTGATCAAGTCTGCCAGCTTCTCCCTGAACTGGATCCGCAACTTGCGACACTTCAGACCGACAGGCTTCGCTCTTCCGACGTCGATATCGCACACCACACCTCTAGCCGCCGGCAGAAGGGCATTTCACTTGCCGATCAAGGAATGACGGGACTTCCAGATCCTTTGGCGAAGTCGATCAATTTCTTCTGGGGTCTGCTTATCAGATCCACATGTCCTCGATCTTCACATCTTCCGTCGTCACGGGCAATTCCGGCAGTACCGCCATCTGACCGTCGACATCTTCCGCGTACAGATCACTGCCTTCATGGTAGTATACACATTCGTCGTAATCGAGTCCCATGTGCGGTCCAGATCCGACGCGTCTGGTTGATCTTCAACAGCAGGTGGTGGATCCATGTCCGTTGTTTGCAACATAGACGCGACACACTTGTCGTTCAACGGATCACTGGCCACATGTCCTGTCCCAGATTGTACACGTACCATTGATGACGCATCATCATTGATGATGGATCTGATCCACCGCATTTCGCCGGTGATGTACCTTTATTCTGACATATCAAATGTAGTTGATCCTGGTTGGCGACTTCAATTCCATCTCGACCTCCCTCTTTTCTCTTTTCGACTGCACGTGTAGTTTCCTCCAACGCCAGATCCGTCGCCTAGTCGTCTGGCGTAATTTGATTGAGATCTTCCAACGCCTATTTGACCGTTACGACATGTGATATAGAGTCTTCATAGGCGATAGATGACCGATCCGATTCCTCCCTTGCGACAAACGCTAGTTCCAACGGTCGAATCTCCGACGTCGAGTTGTTCCAAGATACGCAGGCAAGAACATCTTCATCCTCGATCGACGTCGTCTTCGGGGGTGGAGTATTGCACGCCCCTTTTTTGTACTCAGATCGATCCACCGCAGGTTCTAACGGGGCTTGGGACCCCACATCTTCGGATCGAGCATCCGTCGTGGCCTCTAACGCCAGATTCTGCCACACCATGTAGCGACATGACCCGATCGAGATGAAACCTGGTAGTCGTAGCACATGATCTCCGGTCAGCCAGATCCCGATCCGTTGGTCTTGATGCAGGACCAACACCCCGTTCTCGATGTTGGTGATCGAGATGTACTTCGTCCTCCCTGGCCCATCGGATATTGGGGGCACCCATCGATCCCCGCGTGTGATCCACAGCTTGTCTTGGATCGACGTTCTCAGGCGTAATGGCAGTTCCACCAATTCTCCAGCTTGGATCCGAAGATATTGACCGACATTGACGAACTTCGCCTTGTCACTATATAGCTGGCGCCTTCCGCTAAGCTGGACCCGGACAAGCTAATTGATCCATGAGCTAATTGATCCATGAGCTAGATCCAGGCGGATCCCGGCTAGGACCATGAAGTCCATACCAAGTATAGCTTGTTGACCAGTTAGATGATCAACTCTGATATCGAAAAATATACCAATGATCCAGCCAGAGTCACCTTGACCCAAGTTCTTCCTTCTGTCCGGTACACATTGTCACCAATTCCCACGCTGTCCTTGATCTGACTCGAGTCGATATAGCACCCAACCTTACGAGCAAATGTGATGTCCATGATGGAAAGCGATCTTACTCTTAGCCACCTCGGCGCCGGTATCTAAGAGTAAGGTCGCTTTCTTATTGTGGATCTTGCTTGTGCTCTTAAGTTTGCGAAACCATTTTGCTGGTGAATGGCGTTGTTAATAACCACGAAACTCTCGCGGTAGTAGATTCATGGTTGTTGACCGTCGGTACCCCGAGATCTTACTAGGATTCTTGTTCTCCGAAGTAACCTCGTGATTCGTCGGTTTAAACCATAAATTTGGATCTTGCTGTCTCCAATAACCTCATGACTCTCCGCTGGAGATCCACACTCATGCTTACTTCGGAACTAGCATATTCGTCGCCTTGACGAAGACTGGAGATTGCGAAGGTATGTTTCCCATATAGATAGCATGTATTACCGTGTAGATCTGGTCGTTTACTAACCTGATCTATCGATGTCTTGTTCACAAATGCATAGACGCAGTATCTAGAACGCTCGGATCGTATCGGTTTCCACCCCGACGTGCGTCCTAGTTTAACATCTTCTCAGCAGCTTCGGGTAACATACCCATGTGCTTCGTGGGGTTAAACCACTGGCGGATTTGGTTATAGAACTCTTCCATCGGACATTTTCCCATGTCTTGCCGTTCTCCACATCCGCGACACACGAAGAGGCAGTGATCCGATGGGTGTCCTCTCTTGCCACACTTCGTGCACGTAACACGCCTCCAGCAACCAAGATCCGAGTGTTTGTTGGATCCACAGTGCGAACGCCGATCGCGGGTGAAACCATTGCCGTGGAACTTCGAGTTGTGATCGTCATGGCCTTGATCGCGGTCCGAAAGTCGTCGATCTAGATTCGTTGACTCCTTTTCCACCTTCGGGGAAATGTCCTCGTTCGCTGCGAGGAAGATCATGCGATGACTGGCGATATCGGAGTCAGATCCACCCGATTCATCGGATCCACTGTCGGATCCAGAGTCACCAGCTTGGATCTGGATAGCACGCACTTGTTTTGCTGGAGCGGGTGGGGCTGTATTAGTTGGCTTCTGACGCTACTTGCTGGATCGAAATGCCGCTTTCTTTTGACGATTCTTTGCGCGATCCCGAGCGCGAAACATTTCTTCGAGATTATTCGCGTCAGTCAACCACCGTAAGGTTAATCGTTCTGTTAGATCTTGATCCTCAATCGCTTCGATGTAATGATCTAAATATTCACGCCGGTCCATCGCGCTGCCATCCTTGATCTTCCGTCGAGCGCGGAGTCCGGCCACATTAAGACGATAAAAGTAGTCCAGCGGCGATTCATCCGATCTAATCACGTATGGTAGTATTGTCTTGCTACCGATACTCCGAGCCCAGAATACTAGATCTGGAAACTACGAAGCAGGTCACTCCATTTGTTGCGAGTAGATGGTGGATCCAGCGAGGAGGTCGGCGAAGATCAAGCACTTTTCATCATCGGATGCTTGATCTCGCATGAACGCAGATTTACCGTTGCTGATCCACGCTTGTGCTCGATCCTCATCTTGATCCTTACCAGTGAATTCGTTGAGATATGAGATCGCTGAGATCCGACCACACTGTATCATGGTGGAACCTGTGGATCCAGCGGCAGCGGTGGCTACAGTGGCTTGTGCCGAGATGGGAAAGTCTACATCATCGGGATCGCACTCCCAGCGAGAACCACGATCGGAGGATCGAATGGCTTCCATCTCAATTTCGTGTGATCTATGATGCTGCGGTTGCGTACTAGCGGGATCTCAGTTCCCCTCGCGTTCTTCGGCCAAGTATCGGTCCGTTGCAGCACTGAAGAACTTCTGCAAGGTACCGACCGATCGATCTGACCTCTTAGCCATGGCTTGATCCGTTGTCGCGGCGGCTGGTTCTGACTGATCTAGAGCGCCGGATGTTGGATCTCGCCTCCAGCATTAATGCTCCAGAGGACCCTACGGACATCCGTAGCGATCGCTCCGAGGAAGTGTCGGATCCATCTTCGGCGGCTGACGCATAATGTGACCACACTTTCAAGTTATCGACGACGTCGGCCGTGGTCAATGGTGATGGATCCGCTCCCTGGGGCAATTTGCCCTCTAGAATCTTTAACCTCTCAAACAGATTGCAACTGGTGGCTTGGGTAACATTGAGATCCAAGTCAAACTGCGCGTCTGCGTAGAAGGATCCAATGCCCATATCAGCTTCTTTCAACAGGCGGATCAGCTCCATCGTTGCATCAAATCTGTTTTCCAGTGTCGCAGGAGCAGTCACAGGCTCCTTCGGGTCCGTGTTCCGCTTGAGCTTCAGGATCGGCATCACTGGATCCTGGTCCACCAAGTCACGTAGCTCCTCGCGGCAATACATGGACTTCAGATCTTCTTCAGACCAGCCAGACCCAGGGTGATTTTCACCTTCTTCGTCGTCTGGCGCCTTCGTCTTATTCTGCACTGTCTTGGATTTAGGCTTCCCGACCTCGGATCCAGAGACTTGCGTGTCCTTAGGCAGATATAGTGTTGACTTATCCGGATCAATGAATGAATACGGTTCAGGCTTCACCTTTGTTTGTTTTGTTAGCGGGCCTTGACGCGAGTTAAGGTCCAGGAGTCTCCATGTCGAAGCCCTGTCGAGGATGAGGTTTCCCTTCCAGTGGCCGTGTAGGTTGCCTTGGTGTGTTGTTCGGGTTGATCTTGCGATCCCTTTGAGTTGCTTGCAGTCCCTTATGACTGGATCTTGGGGGAGTTGAGAGATCGACGGGTCACATGGCGAAGCCAAAAATGCCGTGGATCCGAGGTTTGCACGTCTTGAATAGGTATTATGTTGTTGAATCTGGCCAATATATTATCTAGTTATCCGAACTACACTAAATACTGTATTGCTAATAGAAGACCACCTTGTAGGGTCGATATGGGTGGATCCGAGGTGGCCGTAGAACACTAAGTGTGGACCCAATAAAGAAACCAACCACTTGTGCCCAATCATGCAAATTCGATTATCCGTTTTTCCTAAGCCTTGGAACCTGATTTGTCTCATCCTCTACTACCTGGATCCACAAATTTCCTTCCCAACATCTGCTAATCTTCGGATCTTGGTGTTTACCGCCGAATGCTTACCTTGTTTACTTGATCCTGATTCGCCTTGGGTAATCATGTCCGGATCAGGAATAGTCCTCCCCAAATCAGGTATCTATATTTAGGTCACCCCAGATTGATCCAATTGTCACCGAATCAGTTGATCTGAGTCCATTACACGTTCTCAGATCTGGATTCACGGTAATGACCGTAGACCGGGGATACCTGTCATTTCACTTGATTCGGTCACTTCCTGTCCGCAATTTTCCAGAACCCAGTTCACCACAGAAACTTGGCAGTCTGTTTGGCAGCAAGCAATGGATTGGCCTAATACTCGAGATGTCGGTCTATTTCCGCTACTGAAGCTTCAGAAGCTTCAACACGTTATCCACACCGAGCGTAAGACTCGGTATGGTTCTTACACGCCTCTGGTGGTATGTCGCAGTCTTCTGGGCATGCCCAAGCTGCTACTGGTAGTTAGCAATACTTACGCAGCAGGGGTTCGGCGTTCTCCCGCAGTGCAACCTCTGTAGCCAGGTAGGCTTCGCCCGCAGATTGAGCAGTCTGAGCCGCATGTATATGCGCCCGGACCTCAGCTTCTTGCTGGGAGGGTACCGACCGGAACGAAGACAGGAGAATGACGGCCGCACCGACGTCGTCCAGCGTACCCGCAGCTTGAACGAACAAATGAATCCGGCGATTCCCGCGAATCTGT